GCGTACGCTGAGGCGTGCGCTGTTCGGCTTAGAGGGGGCATTTTGATTTATTTAACGGTTGATTTTGTTAGTTCATGTTGAGTGATAGATCCCACTTCGTGATGCAAGCTTATCTGTGCACCATTCAGAACCCCTCCGAACGAACTGCGTCCTAGGGCGTATCTAGGAGGATGGGGCTCAGCTTGGCACCGCTCCATTCAGTTTTCCACCAATTTTGGTTGCCTGCCATCTTCAACAATTGGTGGAGAACAGACTGGTGTTGCGCCAAACCCAGCCCTGAAAGACGGACTTCTAGCTGGAATGCTACCACTCCCGTAACTATAAGGTAGACGGCGAGGGCCTTCGCTCTCTAGAGCCACCAAGATCCGTATTAATGTTCCCGAAATGTTGGTGAACAAGAAAGCTGATTATATAGAAACATTGCCCATCTGCCTAAATGTCCCTAATCGACCTCCTGCGTGTCAACACGACCAAATGGGATTAGCCCCGGAAACTCCAGCTGAAGTAATGACAAGGCAAACTCCTATTGATTTCTGAAAAAGACCACGAACAAGGGAATTGGCACTTTCACCAGTTAGCCAAAAATTGCAAAATTTGAGTAAATTTATGGCAGATGGCGAAGTAACTGAGTAACCAGTAACTTCAAATTAAGTCACGGAAAGGTTCTTTCATCAAAAAAGAAATTCTCCGAATAATAGTAATTCCTGCATGTGCTTATCTTCACCGAATCCATTCGATTCTACATTTTATTCTGAATAAAGGGATTTGGCACTATTTACCCTGTACTGCCCCAATCTTTCGAAAACAGGCCAGATTTTGACCGACTTTTTTCTGCCTTGGCAGAATTTGGCTGAAAATTTGTTCCCTGGGGTATTTGACCTCCTGAACATGAATATCACATCCGCTAGGCACGAAACCTCCTGGCGCCCGCGCCACAGGCGCCGGCGCCAAAATACCTTAGACCACCAAATTCGCTGAAAACTTGTTCACAGGGGTAGTCTGACCTCCTTAACACGATTGTCACATCCGCTCAGTCTGAATCCTCCTGCCGCTCGCGCTACAGATGTACCCAAAGTACCCCAGATCACCGGCGCCTGTGGCGCGGGCGCCAGGTTTCGGGCTAAGCGAATGTCATATTCGTATTCAGGAGGTCAAAATACCCCAGGAGACAACATTTGAGCCAAATCTGTCCACGGAGAAAAAAGTCGGTCAGAAACTGGCTCAATTCTGGATGATTGGGGCAGTAAAGGGTAAATAGTGCCAGGGATTTTTCTGGAGTCCTACTTCCATGGAATGGGTCCGCCTTTGTGGAAATTATGATGAGAAAAGGGTATGGAGTCATGAAGGCTCGCGCTAGTCTTTTTGTTAGCACAGTTCAGTTTCCAATCAACAGCCCGGAGATTGCCCAAGGCTATATGAGCTGAGGATCATCTTCTCTATTTCATGCACTGATGCACACGAGGAATAGGAACTCGGCGTATTCCTCTTCTCTACTATCTTGGAGAAGCACAATTAAATAAGCATTACGGTATACCTGAACCGTTCTCATACGACTAGCATTAAATGTCCGTGAAGGCCAGATAAAGCCTCTACCTTTCGAAAGTAACCATGTATTCAATAAGATCTTCAGAAAATAGTCAAAAAAAACTACCATTCCGAGTTGAATACACACTTATTTCAGGCACTGGACCACAGTCTTCTCATTCCTTTTCTTTCTATGCTTCTTTATTTGTCAACTAATCGCCACGACCTTCATTATTCTCGCTCACAAGAGAAGTATAGCTCGCTATTGCTACCCACGGTAGGTTTGGCACACTTTTTTTTAGTTCGGCTTGGTGAGGGCACCAAATGACACTCAGTGAAGCATGTTCAGGCCAACTTGTGGAGACCTGCAGTTTTTGTAACTAATGTGGCTCACTTGTACCATTCTGAAGCTTCACAAGTTTCACCACAATGAAGTCTGTTAACACGAACTAGCAAAAGTGCACAATGCCCCTCCGAAGTCGAACAACGCCCAATTTTTAGTTATTGAAGCATCTAGTCAAATCCAGTTGAAGCGCTTGTAGGCAATATCGCCTTAGGATCGTTTTTGCGAAGCGGCTGTTCCATTTGTATGGGATAGTTTTGGCCGTATTATGACAGAGACCACCAAAACAAGATGACGACACAATCTACTCAAACCGCTTTCCTCGCTTTACCTAGCCAAAATGAGGGTGGTGAATACCGTTGCAGAATGATGACGTTTAAAAATGGATGATGAAATGTTGTTTATATGACGTTTTGTTTTGTTTGTGTTTCTGTGACTCACTCAGTTTTCCAACAAGAATTAGTAGTTGAGTGAGTTTTGAAGTGGGGGGGGGGGGGTGGGCATACTTCTGAATACATATATCGCCCGAACAGTAGCTGTGTTAGAGGTAAGGGGCGATACTGCTCACGGAACGTACTGATGGAGGTGTTTCCAGTAAGTACAGTCCTCATCATGCGCGGATCACGGTGGGCGTGTCCGCCGGAAGGATGCGCACACTGTTGAAGCCGTTCTCAGCCTTTTTGTTGCAACGCGTATGCGACAAAAAGTGGTAGAAAACGAGTAATACGAAGGATATAATACAGTAATGCACTTGCCCGCTTCAAAAACTGGTGCAGAACGACTTTGCCAAACCGCACCAAACGCAGCCGCACTGCCACGCCCCACCGGTCCGCAATGATGAGGACTGTAAGCTTCTGGAGCGCCCAGCCCTTCCACCAGTCGTTTCGCCTATGAGTCGTTGCAGATTGACGGAAATAGGCTAGCGATGTGCTAAAATATGTATATGTGCGTAGAGACGCCTCCATCGGACGCTCCGATAAGCAGTGTATGTGCATTGTTAGTCGCTCCCACACGCCTCAATTAGTAGCATATACCTCAGCTAGTTTATTTACCCTGCTGAAGCAGTGCCACTGTAAACCAATTAAGTCTGGTGCGAGCGGCAGCCTGTAACCCTTTCTGGAATGTTTCTTCCGTCACCAATCGCCGCAATGCAAAACTAACGATCCACACCCTTTGTTCGGGTCAATGTTGAAATAATTCTTGCATGGGTTTATTACCCACCTAGTTGTAGCGCTTTTCGCATTAGAGTACAGCATCGTTGGCAAAATCTTGTCAGAAGAGTCGTAGTTGGCCGTGCGAGTGAGCGGTCGGAGTTGATATAAGGTCTACCCGCTATGACAGAAGTTTATCGAAGCCGCGAGAAAAGTTGCTGACTTTTTGCTTCCCCTGCTCCGTCGGTTGAAGACCTATACAGTTGCTGTTTTAGTTCGAATCAGTAGGTAGTACGTAGACGATTTCTACCCTCCCCATTCTCCTCTCGATGCGCGAAATTTTGTGGAAAAATTTGGAAAGTCGGTAGGAATTGGGAGCTCAGAGATGATAGCATCGCGTGGGGATCTCTGACGCCGCCGTTCTCCCACTTGATGCTGTACACATAAAAAAGTGCAACGACGCTGTGGAGGCACTTAGATAGATAGAAATGACCAGCATGTTCTGAGTCTATCTCCATGTCACTTGAATCCCATCCACCAAACGATGCCAGAAAAAAAACTATTAAGTGGTATGGTGTGAAATTTTCATATAAGGCCAAATAAAGGCGCCGATTCTATAGCAAACAAGTGACTTTAGAGTTGGAACCAGGGTTTTTATGACCCACACTCAGGCATAAAAACACTTAACGGGCAACGCAGCTGCCAACTAACAAACCGCAGGAGACTGGTGCAACTCACGGGGATGTTCTGTCCATTGCCTTAGCAGACGTTCACACTTTCGACGCACAGCGCTTGGATCGCACATTCGACACCCGACGATGCAGCGAAAGCATGCGCATCGATCGCGTCGAATGCGCGACTGAGCGCTGCCGTCGCGAAGTCTGAACGCTGCCTTATCCCCATAGTGAAATTAATCTATTTTGACTGGAAGATGGTAATAAATGTTTTTCAGATTAGTGCTTATTCTTGGACTCATTATTTGCTCTGCTCTCGAGTATTGAATCCATGGTGTACTTCGGTGGTGCACAAAGCTCTATGACGGCCTTCTTCTTCAGGGTATACGAGGTGTGAACAAATTTTGCGATTTCATAACTTCCATAACGTTTTTTTACGCGACCAAATTGCTACGGTTTGCTGGGAGAGCATGCTGCACTCCCTAGACATTGCATACTAAATCCGTTGAAGAGATTCTTACTGACGAGGAACGCCGGATGGGACATTGACTGTAGAAACTTTTTTATTATTGACTTTCCGTTTTATCCCATCCCTCCACTCGCCGAGGATTTATACATGTATTGAGTTGTTGATAGGCCTGGTCACACTTCCACTGAAGGCATGTTAGGGCCGTACTTCGTAGAAGCACCCATTGGCACTCTGAATTCCATCATTATGTGAATCGAATCGTAATTCACCGCCTAGTCCAGCAGTTGCGTGAGTGGGCCAGATGAACGATGGTTCGAAAGAGGGTAGATCGGTGACAAACAAGTAATTCAGAACCTAGAAAATAGTCACGAATGTCCCGCATAACGGGTCTACATGGAGTATGGTGCTCCAATCGACAAGTTAACAGGAGTCAAAAAACGCCGCGCTCATCACCGCGCGCGGCGGAGCGGCAAATTACGATTCTCTTGCTCTCTCCCAAAGATGGTAGCTCCATGATAAACCTCAAGGATACAGAGTTCAGTTCCCTTTCCCGCCAACCTCCGCCTTACACCACTACCCTCTAGCCATTTTCCCATCCTGTACGCCTTCGTTTCATAGGAAGAAACGCTAACTCCCAGGCGTAGATCAATCCCTCTGTGGGATGCGCCGCGCACTTGCACTTCCACTCGGATTCGTAGCGGATTGTGAATGTGATTTGGGCTAGAGAACGACTAGCTGACGCCAAATTGGTGATTTCGCCCCTCCCACACTCCCCCTCCCATCCCCCCCCCACACCAAACAATTCTGGAACTAATTAACCCCGATGGGAGAACGTGGCTCGATCGGGCGGGAGTCAGACAGGAACTTAATCCCTAATTGGAAGCCTTTAAGCGACGTCTTTTGCCAATACATCACCTTCCTTTTCTACAGCACTGTTTAGCCGTGGATTGGAGTGTGGTGGCAGTCCTTCGTAAAGCTTTTCCACCCTCGTGAGATGAGACAGTTGTTAGAGCACAAGCTACGATAAGCTAACGAATTTTTTTCTATTTTCAGTATTTCTTCGGAACCGTTGATGAACACGAACGAGTAGAGCTGAAAGCTGAGCTTAAACTTTATGCGGGTGCTTTTTTCGCCCTAGCGCTAACATTCTGCGTGTACAGGTATCATTTTCCACATAATATGCTCCTTTTGTACTTAAACCCTACAATTTTAGTACATTCGAGCTGTTCCTCACGCGGAAGTTCTACAACACGTTGGTCTCATTCGCTCCTGTTCCGCAGAACGATCCAACGGCACCCCTTCAACCGGCATTCAATCCTGAGTTTGGCCAAACTCCGGGGAAGATTTATCCCAATATATAAATTGATTTTCACAACTAGTATAATTCTATATTAACGATTGGTTACTGAATGATCTCACATGAATTCTATCCTAAACCGGCACTGGTTCGTAATTTATGCGCTTACAAT